TCAAGTATATAAGATTCTCAATGCCAAATACAATGCCCATGGAAAGTTTTTTTAACTTAAAAAAAAATTTATTCAATGGGCAAAAGTAATGGAAGACTGATTTACTGATATATTTTTCTTGTAATACCATAAAATCTCAAGATTTAAAAAGCAGTGATAATTAATGAACGTGCCATCTATTCCCTCAGTTAATAAATACTGATTGAGCTCCTTGCAATGTGAAGTGAAGGAAGATATAAAGAGGTGTGATGGGCATGATCCCTGCCCTCAAGAGCCTTGCAGTGTTAACTGGGGTTTTAAGACATTTTGGAACCACATTAAATCATGGAGAAAATAATTCAAAAGCAACACTCAGTTACTTTCAGCTTCTGTGAAGCTATTTCAAGGATCAAGTGCATCTCAAAGTTAAAAGCAGAAAAAACATCTTTTTAGTTTATGCAAAAGAATTTTTTAAAAAATTTTAAAGGAGTAAAATTATCCAGAATTCCTCCTAATACCCTTATGAGAGAATAACATTCTTTAAACCTTTGTACTTTCACTGAAGAGAGAGAATGACTAATTCTCACTGTAACCCTTTAGTGTAAAACTAAATGAAGACAAGGGATGACTAATAAGCATCAGTTACAGACGGAGATTTAGAGCAGGAAACCGCTTCCACCCTTCCGCTCCCTGTATGTTTTTGCCTTTTGCATGATTAGTAGTAAGAATTTTGGCCTTGCTTTACTAGATGATCCAAGTGTGCACATGGTAAACAGAACAGCGCCTTCAATCTGGGGAAGTGCTCTTTAATGCTTGTAAAAGCAGAAAAGAAAACGAGTAACTTTCTAAAAAATCAAATGAACCCCCCTCTCTATTTTCTTCACGGCGATAAAACGCTCCACCTATACAGAGATAGCACTTGTGTTCTTTTCCTCTCACACCACAGCAGCACGTCTCCTCTTTCAGGTCACGTCTTTCACATAAAAGTGCTAAACTAATGCCGCTTAATGACAAATTAATGTCCATGAATAAAAAATACACCTCTAATAGCATAGAGTAATTTGCCATTACAATATCATCATTGGACATGCCCCTGGTTTAATACGATGTATTTAATTCATAACCTAATGAGTGATATATAAAAAGAGGGAGATGAACCCTGCAATTACATTTATGTGAGTCTGTCACCTTATTTGTAAAATCTTAGAGTCATTTACATTCAAATTAGAACAAATGAGTGATTTCACAAAGTGTGATGATAAATGACCACAGCAGCCCAAGACAAAACTGTATTTCCTGTGAGCACAGTAACAGTTTCCTATTATTTGTTAAGAATTACAATGCATATTGCCCAGTGTGGTGTGAATAATGACTGTTTTACTGATTAGGTCAGAAGACTAATATGTAGCAAAATAAATAATTTTTCTTCTCATTTTTTCTGATTTTTGCTTTAAATTAACTACTGAATTCTGGTGGATTCACACTGCCACCTGCTGCCTAGGAATAGATACTATAGAAGTTTGTTCCTATCAAAGAATATTTATTCACCACTTTGGTAGTTTTGTTCAAAAAGTCTACATAACGTCTTTTTTTTTTTCTCATCAGTACGTTTAAGTTCATATCGTAATGAAGACTGACACTTGGAGAACAGAAAGAACACTTGTTAAACAATAAAATATGCTATTTGAGAGAGGTGGTACAAAATGGTATAAACTTTTTTTTTTTAAGCTAACTACAACAAAAGACAACTTCAGTAATGCATGTGCTTCCTAATGCATCCTTTTCAGGGGATATAATACAAAATCCAGCAGCAGCAGCATTCATGTGTGTACAAGGCTGAAGCTGGTGGAGCTTCCACCAAGGGGTTCTCCTTAGACACGCTTTATAATGAGCACTGAAAGACAAAAGGAGGTATTATAGTAGGGGCTGGTGGTACAAATTATTAACACGCTTGGCTGCTCACTGAAAGGTTGGAGGCTTGAGTCCATCCAGAGGCACCTCAGAAGAAAGGCCTGGCAATCACTTTCAACAGATCAGTCACTGAAAAATCTAAGGTGCACAGGTCTACTCTGACACACATGGGGTTGCCGTGAGTTGGAATCAACTCGACAGCAACTGGTACTGGTACCCTTCCTAGCCTCTGGCAGAGAAACCAAGGAAATAATGGAAACTTGTGAACAACAAAACAATACCAGACATCTTAGTGAGGAGAATGGTTTCAGAAACTCCCAGTTGGAAAATGTACCAAACAAGGTTGGAGAATATATTAGTCTTGATTGATGGGACACAATACCTAGGTAAGTTTCAAGCACTGGAGATTTTTTATTTCAACAAAAATTTATTTTCATATACTCAACGAAAAGATCCAAGATGAAATTAAAAATCAGCTGAACAATAACACTAAAAAACAGTTAATAAAAGACTGTCAAAATACTCAAGCAGACTGATCCAGTCTGGGAATTTTATACTCCTGAGAGAAAGGCAGGGTGTCATGGATTGAATTATGTCCCTCCAAAAATGTGTGTATCAATTTGGCTGGGCCATGATTCCCAGTATTGTGTGGTTGTCCTCCATTTTGTGATTGTAATTTTATGTTAAACAGGATTAGGGTGGGATTGTAACACCCTTACTAATGTCACATCCCTGATCCAATGTAAAGGGAGTTTCCCTGGGGTGGGGCCTGCACCACCTTTTATCTTACAAGAGATAAAAGGAAAGGGAAGCAAGCGGAGAGTTAGGGATGTCATACCACCAAGAAAGCAGCGCAGGGATCACAACGCGTCCTTCGGACCTGAGGTTCCTGTGCTAAGATGCCCTCAGACCAAGAGAAGATTGATGAGAAGGCCAACAGAGAGGGAAAGCCTTCCACTGGAGACGAGGTCCTGAATTTGGACTTTCAGCTTACTTTACTGTGAAGAAATAAATTTCTCTTTGTTAAAGCCATCCACCTGTGGTATTTCTGTTACAGCAGCACTAGATGACTAAGACACAGGGAATATATTTTCAAAAGACTGAAGTAATGAAGACGCCTACATATGCAAGGTTTTGGTTCTGTAGTCAAAGTTTCCGTCTACAAGCTGAACATCTTGCAACCATCACAAATAGAAAGGAAAAGTTACATAGGAGAATAAAATGAAAACATACAGGTGAAAAGAAAGTGAAAGTTTCAACCACTGCTCAACCAGCCTCAATAATGGCAACTGTACACAAAACATATCTATACACAAGTTACAGTTTTGCCTCTGAAAAATAATGAACCACAAGAGTTAAATTCCAAAGTACACAAGTCACTTGGTGTCTCAACAACTTCATCTGATGGGGTCGGAGAAAATACTCATAAACTTTTGATCTTCATCTGGAATTCTCATTTACAGAAAATTATAGGTGTAGGTACACACACATGTACATACACAATATTTACAGTATGCATCATGATAATTAGCACCATAAGCAAACTTTTTGTCAACATACATCACTGATTATTATCTGCCTTGGAAAAAGTCAATCAGGTGATGAAGCTTAAAGCTCAAGCTGTAATATGTGATGTAGAAATGTCAAATAAAAATGATTTCAATTTCACGAGTCAAACATACACCTCCAAAGTCTTGTAACCTTTTTATGTTATTCCCATTTGCTACCTGCAGAAAAGGATTAAAAACAGCTTTCCCATACCACTCAACAATACTGACGGGAAAAGAAAGGAAAATAACACAAAAATAGCTAAATATTTACTCTTACGTGAAATGTGCTGAGATGACAATATAAATTTCATATACTGCATTTGAATTGCTACTTAGGTGAACATGGATGACATTCCTGCCACTGTCTCCTTAGAAAGCACTGGGTTCCCATTTCCCAGAGCTGCTGGGAAGATTAAATAAGATGATACAATAGAAAGAGCTTTGTAAACTACATAACGCTATTCAAGGGAGAACGGGTAACAGAAGTCAATGATTTGAACCACCAACCTTTTGGTTAGCAGCCCTCGCTCTTAACCACTGCACCACCAGGGCTCTATATTTAGAATTAGAGAGAATGATCAGAAAGGAAAAGAAAGAAATCATGCTGTAAAACAAATAGGATTTTTCTACTCACTAATATAACGCCACATGCACAAGAATAACATGAAATTGGGTAAATTTGTGATTGTTATCAAATTTATTTTTACTCTTGTTATAATGCTGTAATAAATGCAAGTTAAAAGTTATACTAGTGGGGGAAATGGAAGGATTCTAAAATAGGGAACTAGTACTTAACTATCTATAAAATAAAAGAACTAAGATGTCCCACATCTTCCCACCTAACCAAATAGTTTTCATCCCAAAAAAAAAAGATCTTTGTAATCAGAAGTCCTGTCACTCACCATGTATATATATCACCTCGAGCAAGCTGGGTACGCTTTGAGCCTCTGACTTTTCATCTATAAAAACGTGCAAAGTTGTTGTGAGGACTGAACGTGAACTGTTCGTGAATGCTCAATAGGTGCTCAGTGTATGGGAGTTTCTTTTCCTGTCTCCTCCGAAGCCTTTCCTGGCCATCCCAGCAAATCAGGGGAAGAAGGCACAGATCACTCATCACTTCTCTAGCATTTGCTGCCTGGGGTATCTATGCGGTAATTAATTATATATGACTTTGTCTTGTATTAGCTACTGTTACATCAATCGTGTATGACTATCCAACTTTTCATGCACTTGTACTTATTTCCCCAACCAGAAAAACCGCTCCAGACCAGAACCCTTCTCAGTGCCATCGCCCCAGGACCTGCCTGAGTACCGGGGACCTGGGGTGGGCAAGGAGGGTGGGGGGAAATGCCCACTTCCAGGACAGGACACAAAAGCTGCAGCTGCCCTCTTGCCTCTCAGCTTGTGTCCTGGAGAAATGTCCCACAGACCACAGCTTCTCCAGGTGGGCTAGGCTGGTGTTTTATCTGTCATTGGGTTCTGGCTGGTTGGGCATAGCTTACGACTGCAGGGGAGAGGAATGTGGTGGGTATATTACTAGCCAGACGCAAGCTCACATACCTGGATGAGATAGTGGGAACATAAATTGAGAAGCTCCAACAGCTGTAGGTGACTGCCAGCAGCTAACACATCCTGGATCACGCCTGGCTCCAACAAAATCTGTTTTGTTTTTTAATAAAAAGAAAATTATCAGTTCCATCAAAAGATTAATACTGCTTAACACATAAATATACTATACTATACTCAAATTTCTGCTCAACGTACTATATTTGAACTAATACAGCTCCTTAAACCAGAAGTCAGGCCTCTTCTTTTTCTTCAGATTAATGAGCTAAGGTGCTCACACCAACAGCTGAGTTCTCTCCTCACTGTATTTTCTGAGTCTCATTTCCTGTGTGTAAAGCTCTGCACTGAACCACTTATTTTTTGTAGGTGATATGAACATTTTCAAACAACAATACAAATACTTACAGTCTTAAAATTCAGCTTAGTTATTTTTGCAACCTGTTTCAATGTTACATCACAATCTATGATATAATCTTATAAAATATAAAACACTACATATTACTTTTTCAAAGTATATCTCAGAACTTTGCTTTTCAGTAGATCATAAAAACAGAATGGCTAATAGGTATTTTAGGGAAAGGGGGTTTCTGTTTCTTTTTGCAATGTGAGACCAGAGGCGACTATTACTCCTTTTTACTTCTAAATCCTCCAACAGTGAACTTTTTACCACAAACTTTAGTTTTTCTCTTCCTCAGTCTCAGGTTTTCTAACCCGTTCTATTTAAAATAAAGGCTACACAAATACAATTTTCAGAATGCAAAGACATCACAGAGAAGCAAAACCTTCCAATTATCCTGGTGATACTGATTATTCTTTTTTTTGGTTACGTCCAACTATCTGTCTACTTTTGCCATCTTTTGTGTTACTGAACACAGCTGGAAAAAAACATACAACCATGTTGACAAAATTCACTTTAAATGCATGATTGCCAGGCCTAAGTAGGCCTTTTGTGGTGCCCCAGCCATCCTGCCCTATTTCCTAAGCCCAGTGATTCCCAAAGTGTGGTCTGTGGACCAACAGCATGGGCATAACCTCGGAACTAGAGAAAAACGGCAAATCCTTGGGGCCCTCCCCAGACCTGCTAACTCAGAAACTTTCAGGGTACGGCCCAGCAATCGGTGTTTCAACAAACCTTCCACGTGGTTCTGATGCACAGGGAGTATGAGAGCCACTGACTTAGTCGATCACTCTACCATCTCTCACATTCTCCGTTGTTTTGTCCTCAAACCTCCAACTCCTCTCTCCTCACTCTCACCTCATGATTTTCAAAAGGCTCCCACCACCAGATCTACCAACCCACCTCCCTATATCTGAATCCATACATTGTGCTTTCCCCAGGACTCCACTTGCGCACTACATCCCAATCCCTTCTCCTTGCAGTTGTCCCCTCTCATTCCTGCATTTTCTTTTTCTACCGGATAATTCCTTTCAGCATACAAACAAGTTGTTCTAGCCCTTATCTCTAGAAATCGAAACCCCACCCCGATCCCATAGCTCCCTCCAGGTCCCTCCACGCACCCCTTCACGGCAAAAGTGCTCCGAAAAATTGTCCATACACACTGCCTCCATCTGCTGTACTCTGGTCTCTCTTGAGCCCACGCCTGTTGTGTTTTGTTCCCATGCTTCCACTAAAAATGCTCTTGTCTAGGTCACCAGTGACCTCCATGTTTGCAAAACCAGTGGCCATTTCTCAGTATTTACTCTTAACAACTCCACAGCAATTAGCAAAGTTGATCACTCTCTTCTTTGGAACAATTTCTTTTCTTGCTTCTGGGATAACACGTCCTCTAGGTTTTCTTTCTACTTCACTAGCCGCTCAATCTCAGTCTCCTTCCCAACCTCTAAGCTTTGGAGATGCCTAGAGCTCAGTTCCCAGAACTCTCCTCTCTCTATACTCACTCTGTGGATGATATCATGTAATCTCATGGCTTTAAAATGATCTATATACTGATGACACTTGAATTTGTTCTCTAGTCCCAACTTCAGCCCTTCAACTCCAGATTCTTGTTTTCAATAAGAATAAGTACATGCCTACTCAGCATCTCCACTTGGATGTCTAATGGGCATCTCAAACTGAACATGCCCCAAACCAAACTCTGGATCTTATCTACCAATTACCAAATATGCTCCTACTCCAATTCTACCATGTCAACACATAACAACTCTAATCTATCTGTTATTTAGGTTAAAGCCTGAGTCATCCTTGACTCCTCTTGTCTTTCTCACACCTCACATCTGATCCTTCAGTCACTCTTGTTGGCTCTACCTTCAAAATGGCTCCAGAATTCAACCACGGCTCATCCCTTTCATCAGTATCACTCTATTACAAGTGATTCTGTCTTCCTAGACTTACCGTAACAGCCTCCTAACTAGTTACACTGTTTTCTCCTTTGCCCTCTTGCACTACCTATCTCCAAGAATAACGGCCAAACTGGCCCTTTAAAAACATAAATGAAATCATGTCACCGCTTTATTCAAAACTCTCCAATGACTTACCAGCTCACTGAAAACAAAAGCCAAAGTCTTTGCTACAACCTCAAAGGTCCCCCCATAGCCTCTCTGACCACCACAACCAGCTTTCTTGCTGTTGTTGCTTAAATATGTGGAGCACCTCAGTACTTAGAACTAGTTGTTTTTTCTGCCTGGATTTCTCTTCCTCAAGATATCAGTGTTGTTCATGCCCTCACATTCTTTGGGCCTTTCCTCAAATATCATCTAATCTGAGAAGCCTTCCCTGACCATCCTATGTAAACAGTACCCTACTCCTTATCGCCCCTCATTCCCTATGTCCTTACTCAGTTTTATTCTTCTTCGTAACACTTACCACCTCTTGATATATTACATACTCGCCTGTTTGATTATTTTCTGTTTTTTTTCACTCACTAGGACATAAGTTCCAGGAGAGCAGGGACTTGGTCTATTTTGTATCCCCAGCACTTAGAACAATGCCCAGCATATAGCTTTCATTCAATATTGATGAATTTATTTAATAATAAATTAAATGAGTTATATTTGTCTATAATTCCGTAAGATGCACTGTCAACAATCTTCTATAAGATGGATTGACACAATAGCTGCAACAATAGGCTCAAACGTACCAACAATTGTGAGGATGGTGCAGAACTAGGCAACATTTTGTTCTGTTATACATGAGGAGCTGACTCAACAGCAACTAACAACCACATATTTGTCTACACGTATATATTTCTGTAATTCAGAATTAATTTTATTAATTAAATTGATTATTAATTTAACATATGAGGAAAGAGGAAAAGGGACTATAAATTATATTTCTGAACTAGTGAAGTGTAAAACTTAAGCAAATGTAGCAAAACCACCAACGCTCACTCTTACTCTAAAAAGTCTTTATAGCTCCTTTTCCTTCTACTTAGGAGAAACCTGAATTTCTCCAGCTCCTCTAGGAGGGAGGCTTTGACTGACATTCAGAAAATGAGTGCAGCTGCCTTCACAGGAGCCAGGATGTAGTACTTCCTTGCAGGGGAGGCATGGCCTAAGGCAGAGAATGGGAATAGATGGATTAGAAAGGTTAGTTTTAGCCTTTAAATCCTGTCAGTTGCGCTCATTTCACACAACTGGCATTCATGATAACCTCCGAGGCTCAGTAATGCCAAACACAAGAACAGATATCACAGAGAGACAAGATGAATATTCTGCAGCATGTGTAACACGTCCAGCAGGCTCACTTTGAGAAACATTCACACTAGAAACCCATACTGGGATTGTTTTTGTCTTAGCACAGAAAATCCCTATGTGCTTTGAACAGGAACGGTTTGGAAGAAGAAACCCAACCAGGACAGCTAGTTCTTGCTCATGGAAACAGGACCAGTGTCTGCAAGCCCCACTTGCACTTGAGTCCTTTAAATTCAGCTCTGTTGATCTCTGGTGGCCAGTGGTTCTCACATACTTTCCAGAGAATTTGTGCCTGGGCAGGAATACAAACAGGTTCAATCTCCTCACCATTTGCAAGATGGTGAATTTATTTATCACCTGGAGGCAGTGGTGGTTCAAAGGTAGAATTCTCTCCTTCCAGGCAGGTGACCCACTTTCAGTTCTTGGCCGATATACCTCAGGGGCAGCCATCACTCATCGGTGAAGGCTTGTGTGTTGTTATGATGCTGAACAGGTTTAGTCCAGACTGAGATGGAATAGGAAGAAAGGCCTTGTGATCTACTTCTGAAAACCAGCCAATGAAAACCCCATGGATCACAATGGTTTGATGGCCATCAGTCGGGGGCTGACTCAAAGGCAGCTAACAAGGACATACATCACTTGTCTGGAAGAATTGGCCAAAAGTATAGCCTTCTGTAGAAGGAAGCAATCTCAAACACCCACATTTATGGGGAACAACGAAGACAACTAAATGTAAGTGCTGCAAGCATTTGTTGGTTATATCTAGGCCTTGAAGAAACTCATACCCATGTGGTCTGGCATTCAAAGCAGGACAGACAGGAAGGGAGGGTGACCCCGAAGACCCAGATGCAGGGTGCAGCGGGAGCTAATGTTGGTGGCTTGAGATGTCCAATCACTCATCGAACTGAAAGGGCATAAACAGTGGACAAGTCAAGAGGTTTTAATAACAAAGGATAGTAAGAAAATGCAGGATGTATGAAGTCAGGCGGTCCAGAATCCAGTGGAGAAGGTGAAAACCCTTAAAGAGGCCAAACTAGGCCAGTCATTGCCTCTTTCCTCAACAAGCTTTACCTGCTTGGGTGGAGGCAGACCTGGGGTTTCTCCAGATTTGACAAAAGGGCTTTGATACAATCAGGAGCCAGCTTAACATGGGGCAAGAGCTCGTCTTGTCCACAGGGTCATCTGTAGGGAGTATTCTCTCCCCACCACACACCACACCTGACCTCCTGGTGACACAATACAGGGCTACACTTGAAAGAGAGAAGCTGGACACAACAACGTCATCACCTAGCTGGGAACGTGACATCCTCATCACCTGGGTCAGGCCCAGGCACCCCTCTGCAGCTTGTGGCAGGACAAGGTCATTTGAAATGAAGAGAATCCACAGCTGATCCCACCCCAAAGGCTGACGCTCTGCACTCATCTTTGGCCAGACAGGAATA